AGGGACGGTGGTGCTGCCCTTGTCCCCCTGCCCCTTGGAGGCAGCAGTGTGGGGTGCTGGCGGTGCAGCGCTGGCCTTGACCCCCCCCCCACTACCGCTGTGCCCTGCCAAAAGCTGGCACAGTGCTGGGCCCTGAGAACAGCTGGGGGGGAGGGGGTTGTGCACACCTGGGAGTGCGGGCGCTGGGTGGCAGCTGCTGTGTGCAAGCCCCCCCCACATGGGAGTGGCGGGGGGGTGCACGGGGCCAAAGGCAGAGCGGCGGCGGTGAGTGGCAGTGCCTGCCCACCCCCCATCATTCTTGATAGGCAATTGGCGCGCGTGTGTAATGTGTGCGCGCGTAGGTATGTAGATGTAAGTTTGCTCTCGTATACAGTACGAGCGCGCACAAGCTTCCTCATTGCTAGAGCACCTACATGCAGAGCGGCTGTAGCCGTGAGACCTGTACCTAGAGATGCGTCTCCATGGTCGGTCACTGCGGACGTGGGCCCGAGTGCAGGCCAGGCTGCGCCGGGTGCGAGACCCCACCGCGCCTATGAGGTCTCCGCAGGCGCGGAGAGGCCCCGCAGACCGCTCGCGGGCAGGGGCAGCGGTTTAGGGCGGCTCCGCTCTGTCCGTTCACACTCGGCGGCACCCAGAAGTGGTTCCAAAAATTGCGCTCGACTGGCGGGCGCGAAGTGCTGTGTGCGGCGTCAGCAGGACGGCCCTCACCACGCGTTCATCGGGCCGCCGCGCACCCCAAGATAAGGACGGTTACCGGGCTAGGGCGGCGGCGGGGAGCAGGCGCGGGGGAGGGGCGGGAAGGTCACGGTGAGCTGCACGCCGCCGCTCTAGCCCCCGCTGCCGCCCAGCGCCGCCGTGTCCGTACCCCTCCCTGGCTCTTGACGCTGCTCCCCGCCCCAGCGCATCCCCCTTTTTGTCGGCGTGGAGGGCTTTACCCACAAGGCAGCGCGCCGCCGAGGGTGGTCATTTGCATATGCAGCCGGCAAGGCCGGCCTTAAAGGGACCGCAGTGGAGGAGCTTCTCCAGCACCCTCTGCATTACAGCACCGGCACCCTGGTAACGACGCACAAAAAGCAGGAGCGTTTTGCAGGTTGAATTTCATCTCCTGGGAGGAAGGAGCAGAATGGAGACCTTGCTTTTATACAACCCCCTGCTTGCCAAGCTGAAAAATAGTCTGATTAAAGCGGGTAATGTTTGCATCCCCGTATCGAGCATTCACGCAGAGTTACAGCTTTCAGAGCTGGAGTGGGTCTTTACTTCACCCCTCGGCCAAAGGTTAGGGTGGTCGCTTGTTTTTCCTTCCGTGGGGTTTTAAAATGATCTGTAGCCTCCTTTACTTAAAAAAAAAAAATGCAATCAGTGGAATCAAAAATGATCTCGATCTCCTGACGTTGAAGCAGGGTGCTGGCTGCTGTGCGGTCCCTGGAGCTGGGCTGTTCTCGGTGGTGGCAGGTGATGCAAGAAGGAGCAATGGGCTCAGGCTGCAGCGAGGGAGGTTGAGGTTGGGTGTTAGGAAAAACTTTCCTCTAGGTGGGTAGTAAAGCACTGGGACGGGTTACCCAGAGGTGGTGCAGTCTCCGTCTTTGGAGGTTTTTAAGCCCTGGCTAGACAAAGCCTTGGCTGGGATGATGTAGTTGGGGCTGGTCCTGCTTCGAGCAGGGCTGGACTAGATGTGACCTCCTGAGGTCCCTTCAACTCTCATTTTCTGTTATTCTGTACCCATGGCAGGTCAGGTGTTACATCTGTGTTGTGTCAGGGTTGACAATAGGCGTACGCAGAATTTAAACTATGGGTAGCCGGGTTTGCATAGGGAAGATCCTGCCTCCAGCAAGGGGTTGGACTTCCTCTGGAGGTCCCTTCCAGCTCAGCCAGCTTTATGATTAAACGGTGGTTATGAATAAGCATCCTCACCAGAGCTGAAGACATGAAAAGCTTTTCTTGCAATTAAAAAGTCCTTGCTTCTATTGATTTTGTCTTTCTCCCGACTTGGTTTTGGACTCTGCATTTGGATAATAAAATTAATGCAACCGGTATAACCGCTTGTTATTTGATAATAGCAATTCACTAGAATTGATACCAAAGCGGTAACTTCAGATAACGAGAACAATGCCTCCTAAACCTTTTTGGTATTGTATGGAGTCGCGTTCCCAATCGGCTTCTGGCCGGTCGGGATTTAGGTTGCAAAGGCCGCAAGGGAACGTTTGCTTGTTTGAAAAACGCATCCCCCCCCTTGCCTCTGAGAAGTAGGGTGGTGATTTTTGTACAGCTGCGTTTTCTGCGTGCGAGCGTGTCCGGCTTGCACTGAAGTCTTCCGAAATACGGGTCAGTGGGAACGTCTGGCCCAATCCACGCACGAAAATATTGTTTCTCTTTTACTTGAAACTCTTCAGACTCATCTGTCCCGGCACTTGACGAGGGCTTCGTGCTGACCTGCCATCTCGTTGTGTTCACAGGTGGTTCTGCTCGGGATGGACATCCTGTCGGCGCTGGTGTCACGACTGCAGGATCGCTTTCGAGCCCAGATCGGCACAGGTAAGGGGTCCGGGAGTGCTGGCTCCTCCAAGGTGTGTGAGACCCTCATTCTGCGCCCTGCGCTCCTGTGGAGCCTGGTTGAAGGCCAGGAGGTGAAACGGCTGTAAAGGAGCAGCAGGATGCAGCCTGGCATCTCTCGAGTGAAGGTTTTTTTAATGTATAAGGAGCCTTCCTCCACCCGAAGGCTGCTTCCTGGGGCCTAGCGTCTCGCACCTCCCAGCCTCTCGCACCTTTCCATCCCCATGCACCCGAAGGGCAAATTGTACCATCCCAAACAGCAGAAGTAGAACCTGGCTCCTGCGCCGAGTCCGTCCCTCCCGGTGCTGCTGCCCACGCCTGTCTCCTGCGAACAAGCACGCCATTGCACACTTTTTATTCTGGGGAAGAGCGGGTGGAGGGCTCATAACAGGGACACTGTAGGTTGCTGTCTGCTGGACCTAAGTGCTTTCTTTTCATCCCCAGTGCTGCCCAGTTTGCTTGACAGGCTAGGAGACTCGAAAGACTCGGTGCGGGAGCAGGATCAAGCATTGCTGCTAAAAATCATGGAACAAGCTGCTAACCCTCAGGTATGGCAACGTGCCTCTTGGAAGAAGCAACCCGTGTGTGTGTGTGTATGTGCATGCATGAGGTCCTATTAAAAAGCAAACAGCTGCCTCCGAATCCTTATTTTTTGATTACCTGGCAAAACTCCCCTCCCTGCTGGTGCACAGTATAATTTCTCAAGCTGATCATGCAGAAGCGAGCGTGCAGAGAGAGATGTAGTTAGATCTGGTAGGGCTGGTTTATTAGTGCGCTAAGCTTTGCATTGTAATCCCAGTGGAGTGAGATCAACTCAGCACCCTCCCAAGAGAGATCCCTTGATGCCGTGTGCTTTGCTGGGTGTGGGTCTCCTGGCTGGGTATCATTGAATCTAGGTCCTTGGCGTTCTGCAGGGACCTGAATGATCCTCTGGGTGTTTTGTAAGATGAGGGGTTGCACAGAAAGTCCCCGGTTCCTATCGAGCTGTTACCCCATTTCAGTGGTGTGTGGCACGGGTTAATCGGTGAGGGGCTGAGATCCTTTGCAGTGCAACCTGCTGTCCTGCTCTGTCGGTTCCTTGAGGAAAGCACCAGTTTCTGAGCTTTGCCTCCCATTCATTTGGTTTGTTCCTGGGATCTTAGGCAGAAAGGAGGTGTCACTAATTACTGTAAGGGCCAGTTGGCTGATAGCTGATGCCTTTCCCCTGCAACCCAGAGCTCTGTAGCTGAGGCTTTGCTGGGTGATGAGTGTTATAGGCAGGTTCTGCTGGGTCTGTCAGGTGTCAGTCTGTGTTTTGGGTGTTGAAAGGCATGTGGAGGTAAAACTGAGCATGTCCACCTGTGTTTTTACACATGCCTAAACTTAATGCACGCGTGCCTAATGCGCATTAAGGCGATTTAGGCGTGCATTTACACATGCACGCACTAAGTCACATTAACAAGGCTTGCGTACTGACTTGGGACTAAAGGTAGTCCCAAATCAATTGACACACACAGCATTAATGTACCTGAGTGCGTCTACATGTGTTAAGCTGCTTTTGTTATTTGTGCACAAATTTGATACCTGCTTTTGCAGGTATCACATTTAGGTGCGAATAACCTCAAATCGCCAGTTTTAAGGCGCCTTAAGGGCATGCAGGTGTAGACCTGCGCCCTTAATGCACCTTAAAAATGGCTGATGTGCCTTCAATGGGCACGTGTAGACACACCCACTGTGTGTGTGTGTGTGTGTGAAGGTAGCAGGGAGTTACTGAAAGACCCAGCAAAGAACAAAACCTTAGTCACCCCATGAGATTTAATGCTGCCTTCCTGTAACCTGCACCCATGCTTTCATGAGTGGGTGCAAAGCCTATTTTTACTCCCAAGAGATGTCAAACTGCATCCGGGCTGGAAAAGAAGAAAAACCTCACTCCGTCTCCCCCCCACCCTTGTTTCTTTGCCGTCCTTTCTGTTTCCTGCAGTACGTGTGGGACAGATTGCTCGGAGGATTCAAACACAAGAATTTCCGGACGAGAGAAGGGATTTGCCTCTGCCTTATTGCCACGCTCAACGCGTAAGTTGGGACCTGCTGCAGGTGTGGCTTACATCGTTTTGGGGAGTTGAGTCGATATTTATTTGTGCTGATGCACTCGTATTGTTTTCCTCCTAGATCCGGAGCTCAGAGTCTAACTCTGAGTAAGATCGTGCCGCATATATGTAACTTGCTTGGAGATCCAAACAGCCAGGTAAGGCTTCGGTGAAGTTCTCGACCAAAATCAGTGTTAGCAGGGTGGGGAAGCCCAGCTGGCTTTTGAGGATAAGCAGGGCTAAACGTTTAAATAGCATATGGACTATCTGCAGGTGCCGCCACCTCTTGGTGAATTATAGACCTGCAACTTTTAGGACAAGCCTCAGTGGACTAGTTTAGTTCAGGGGTGCTCAACCCCCAACCTGTGGGTCAGATCTGGGTCACGGTCCTAGGTCATCCATCCCAGTGGGCTCCCTAAAGACCCATGGGAGCCCCAGGCCCTATGTGCTGGATCAGGTGCCCATTCCCAGTGCACAAGGCTGGGTGGGCGCAGCACTGGGCCCCAGGGCCCAACCCTGGTGTGCAGGGGCAGGAGGGGGCAGTGCCAGACCCCCAGGGCCCAATCCTGGCACATGGGGGTGGGAAGCAGTGGCCCTGGGTCCCAATCCTGGCATACTTAGGGGGTGCCGGGCTCCAGGGCCTAATCCCAGTGCTGTGGAGCAGGGAGGGGGCAGTGCAGACACACGGGGCTCGATCTGGCCCTCGGATCAGCCTTGTGCTGCTGATCTGGTCCGTGGCGCGGAAAGGTTGAGCACAACTGATTTCATTGCAATGGGATCTTAGAGCAGTAACTTGAGGATGAATCTGAAGTGATCATCATGGAGCACATCTGCGATGGGCCGGCCTCAGGGATGATGCTCAAGGGCAACCAGCACGGTTTCATTAGGGGCAGGTCATGTCACACCAACCTGATTGCCTTTTATGATCAGGTCACAAAAGCCTTGAATGCAGGTGTCGCCGTGGACGTAGTCTTTCTGGACTTCAGCAAGGCCTTTGACACCGTCTCCCACCCCATCCTCATTAAAAAAATTGGGCGACTGTGGCATTGATGCCTACACAGTCAGATGGATTGCAGATTGGCTGAAGGGTCGTATTCAGAGGGTGGTGGTGGATGGGTCATATTCGATCTGGGGGGAAGTGGGCAGCGGAGTCCCCCAGGGCTCGGTCCTTGGGCCCGCGCTGTTCAATCTCTTTATCAGCTATTTGGACAACGGGGTGAAAAGCAACCTGTTTAAATTCGCTGATGATACCAAAACTAAGGTTGAGGTGAGCAAGCTAGTAGGGAACGAAAGACTGCAGCAAGACCTGGACAGGTTACAGGGGTAGGCTAACAAAAACAGGATGCACTTCAACACTGACAAGTGCAGGGTGCTGCACATGGGCAGTAGGAACCAGCAGCACACTTATAAGATGGGAAACTCCCTTCT